CCACCAACCTGGAGGGAGACCCCTTCTAATTTTCTGCCAAATGAGGGTTGGATTAAGCTGATCACTGAGGAGCCAAATGATAAGGAAGATGGGACCTGGTGTCTGGGTCTAGTTTCTGAAGGCTGCAGGAACTAGGTTAAACCAAGTTGAGGTCTACAGGAGGACTGTCCAAACCTGCAGGAGATTCTGGGTTGTCACACAGTGGACACCCACTAAGCCACCCTCCCTGGGAACTCCATGTTGTTTAAGGGTTGAACCTCTTCCTGGGTCTGTGGGCATATGAAAAGAGACAGCTTCTTGACCTGGAGACACCATTGCAGCTGAGCTGGGCTGGGGCTCAGACTTAGACCTGAGGAAACAAAGACAGGCTGTGGAGCCTCTCTCCATCCAAACTGGCCCCCCTCTGTACCCCGGCAACCAGCCACTGATAGTTCATCTCGATGACAGAAAAGAGGTGGGGAGCCAAGAGAAGGAAATACATCCTTTCCAACAAACTGGGATCTAAGCTGTTGCATCCAGAAGTTTATTTTATTAAAAATAAAAAGGAACAAGAAAAAACTTGACCAAGTGTGATTATAGAGTCTGAGACTACACGTGGCTGGGCTGACTGGTGAAAGATGAGGACTTCCTCCTTCAGCCAGTGGTTTTGTCTTCGTTTTGCCAAATAGCCAGCCATGTTTACTTGTTTTCTTTAAATGAATCAACCTGTTTTATTTGCACAAACAGACCAATTGATTGTCATTCAACATAGCCTTCATATTCTCCTGCAGCTTAGCAAAGTTTCTCACATAACAGCTTTGCACGCCTGCTCAAGCTGATGAAACATTCAACTTAATCATTGAGGGCCCTGAGCCAAGGTGGTTGCTGGAGGAGACAAACACAACAGTCTATGTGTAATGAAGGTCCACGGCCCCACGGAACTCAGTAGAAAACAATGCTCTTTGGGACTGAAACCTATTGAGGAAACTCCTCCCCCAGTGGAGTTTCAATAATAAATGCTAAAAGGACCTAGAAACAGGCAGTTCTAAACTGAACCATAATGCTGCCCACTCAGACTCTGTAATGCAATACCTCTAGCTCCTGTAGTCTGCCCCTTGGAGAGGTACCTCTGTCCCTAACCAGACATGCTCTGAAGACCAGCCTGCTTAAGGAACCAAAAGTTAAAGCTGTTACCCATTTGCTACTGGTGTACTTTGCAGTTTTAGGAAGTGTGTGTGTGTGTGTATAATTAATATTAATGTTATATTTTATACCTGTGAACTGTCATATTACCCAAGAACCTTCTTCTGTTGCCTTGCTTTTGTTCTCAAACTGTTTTATGGGGGTAAGATTTTCCTTCTCCTTCTAGTCTAGGAATATCTCTTGTTTCTCTAAATCAAGAGTATACCAGTGGGCCTTAAAGGAGGCCTTGTAAAGGTCCATTTTGCCATCCAATGTTTAGCTCCCTGTCCCAGAGCCCAGTACAGGACTGGCTCACAGTTGCCATTCAGTAAATATTTGACCACTTAATCAGGAGGTTGGTTAAAAGGCTGACTGGGGCCTGCCCCGATCAAAGGCAGCTTCAGGTCCTTGGCTCTGCTTCCTTGACCACACCAGGGCCTCAAGGACCTTCATCATCATCTAATAAACAAGTACATACACAATTGTATGCTCCACAAAGATAGTTTGGAATTCCCTCCTTTTCCAGGGCAGCCCCTGAGCCAAGGACTCCAGGGCCCGTGGTTTATTTCAGAGGTGATTCCAGAAAAACCCCTTAGGGGGTGGGGGAGGTAAGATGGAAGGGAAGGAAGCCGAGACTGGAAGTGTTAATGAGCAACTAAGTCATATTCCCAATGGGGACCTCTGGGATAAGATGGAGAACATGCTCTAGAATTGCCCCCACTAAGGGGATATTCTCCCAACTCCCATCTGTGAATTCAGGGCTCTTCCTATAGATATCAGTCCTCAACCTGCCCTGCTCATGGGCTGAGCATGTGGCTGCAGCCGAGGAAAGCCCTGAGGCAGAGGCAGAGATGCTACAACAAGAAGCTGGTGAGCAAGGGAAGGATCATTCCTGGGGATGAGGAGTAGGACACAGTCATTGTTACAACTAGACTCCCAGGGCCTCTAGCAGTGTCCGGCATATAGCTGGGGCTCAAAAGCAAAGTTGCATAAATGAGTGCATTCATTCTATTGATTTTATAAAACTTTTTTTTCAAAGGAGGACACTTTCTTCCAAGGAAATCTTATGAGAAAAGTTCGGAATGTGTAAGAGATTACAGAGGAGTTGCCTGATTGAAGAACTGAAACCCCATGGCTTCCCCGACCATACACAGACAGTTGTGAAAAACAGCCAGGGTGCCTCGGGATGGTAGGAAGTCCTGATTTACTTCATCCCCCTCATTTTACAGGCGGGATCATTAAGGTGCTGTGTCTCTGGCGACACCCTGAGTTGGTGTTAGAAGCCAAAGGCAGCCCAGGAGAGTTGGTCAGTGGGGATGGACACCACTCAGAGCACTAGCTCGGTCTCAGCAGGAGCCTCCTCTGGGAGCACCTGGGAAGCCTTTGCTCAGGGATGGATGCACTTCCATCAAGACTGGCAGGGGAGGAAAGAACCATCTATTGCAATATCATGACACCTCAACTATCTCCAAGAGCACAAGAGGTTAAGTTTATTGTCAATCACAGCGCATCTCTGAGATATGGGGGCTGCCAGCAACTTCCATTGTCACCACCACTGAATCTCCGTTCCACAGCTGCCAGAAGGACTGTCATCATGGACAGGTAGGCTCTATGCCCCGTGTGGAACTGGGTCCCTTCTTCCCTGGGAAGACGTGCCAGACACATCTTGAGGGGGTGGCTGAGAGCAAATATCCCAAAGGACTTAAAAACATATTTGTGCTAGAAATCCAAGTTGGAGGCCACTAAACTGGAGCAAAGTCATGGTTTGGACAGAGAAAATAACTGAGATATGGAAGGAAAGATTTCAGCATTAACTTCCAGAAGCTCTTGAATTTCCTATGGCAACGTTTGGATCCATGCGGCCACCCCTCTGAGTCTAGGTCTCTCTCAGCCAACACTGAAAACTCCCAGTTCAGCCACCTTCCTTTAGTCTTGACATCAGTCAGAAAAAACCAGGGGAGGTAGCCAGGGCCACCTACTGGTTTTACCAGTGCAAGTGGGAAATCCCCCTCTGGAAAACCTGGGCCTTCCCTCTGCTGACCACAAAGAGAAAATAAATAATAAAGAATGGTTTAGGTGAACCCCAGTGGAAATGAGCTCTCCTTCTTGGTCCATTCTCCAAAGAGGAACACTCAACGGATCATTCCAACCAGGGCAATGTGCCCACACTCCTCATTTTCACAGATGAAAATCTGAAGCCCACAGAGGGGTAAGTAACTTCATTAAAATCTGTTATTTAATAGAACATTTACAACTGAAGTAACAGTTTTTCCTCATTCCTGATCCAGTGTCTTTTCTTCTATACTAATTTTAAGTACAATCAACCATTTTTTCTTTTGCTCTACATTTTTTCTTTTCTTTCTTGTTTATTTTAATTTTAATATTTGTTTATTTATTTAATTTTTAGCTCTGTGCCTGGTACATGAGCCCTATCAAATATTTGTTGAATGGTTCTGGCCGAGTGGCTCAGTTGGTTGGAGCATTTTCCCATACACTGAAAGGTTGTGGGTTTGATTACACATATACCTATGTTGTGGGTTTAATCCCTGGTCAGGGCATGTATAGAAGGCAACTGATCAATATGTCTCTCTCACATCAGTGTTTCTCTCTGTGTGTCTCTCCCTGTTCCTTCTACTCTAAAACCAATGGGGAAAAAATATCCTCAGGTAAGGATTAATAAACATATATATGCCGTTTTTATGCCTTTGTTATATGCCAGAAGCTGTGCTAAATGCCTTATATACATTATCTGAGACCTTTACAGCCAGTTGATAAAGCAGCTATTGTTGGGAAATGTAAAACCTATACAGAGGGGTTAAGTGACTTGCCCAGAATCACACAGCTGGTAAAAGGCAGAGCCAAAAAAGCAAATTCAGGATTTTTGAGTCCTAAGTCCATGCTCTCGACCAGGAAACTACGTGGTACCCTCCATTCCACTGGTTGAGGCAGATTTATGCACACATGGAGTCATACTCTACACACTGTTCTGTAACTTGTGTTGTTTTTTTCATAGGTAAGGACATTGAGTTCTCAATCCTTGTCTTTAAACTTAAAATGACCTGACCCAATCCTGATCCCTAAGACCAACAGTTGGCCCCTGCCCCTCCTGGTGGTCCCTGCTATTTCATCATAGCCCACACTCTGACCACTCATCTGAACCTTCTTGCTCTCTGTCACTCCTCAACTCCTCACATTGCTCTCACCTTCATGTTGTCATTTTAAACCTACTTCTCAAACCAGGTACTGTATACAGACCCACTGACCCAGACCTCAGGTTTCAAACAAACCCTCATTCCCAGGATTAGGCCATTCTGACCACTCTGGTGAGCCATCTTGCCCCATTCAGCCTGCTCCCCATTACTCGAACCCTCAACACAAGTTTTTGCCTTGCAAGCACTTGTCACCTTCCCAAGACTGGCTCTGGATGAATAAACAAGTCAGCAACAGAAATTCTACCCAATAACCACTAAATTAGTTGAAAACAATGCCCAGTGTTACCACCTCCACTTAAATAAGGAGATTGGGGTTTCTTGGTTAATATCACGGACTAGACTACCCTGAGGTTGGATTCTGTCCATTGCTCTGCTTGAAGTATCTTGCTGTGGGACTTTGAGCAAGTCACATTAGCTCTCTTGCCATTAATGTCTCTAGCTGTCAAAAAACAGGTATAAATAGATGGTCCCGGGCCCTGGCAAACTCTGAAATTCTATTATCCTATCATTAAAGAAATGACAAGCCTGGTAGATATTACTCCCATCAGTGTTTTTGTCCAATCATTAACCAAACTAATGAGACCGTTTATGCAATCCAACTGCAAAGTTCACGTTGGGGGAGAAAGGGAGGAATCAGGGCAGTTGGACATTCCAGGACTTCACTGGGGGCCAAACGTGAAGTTGATGGTAGAGTGCCGGCAACAGAGAAAGGAAATCAGGGGGATCCTCGCAGAAATGGGGTGCATTTTGGAATGAGGAAGCACTTTCGGTGAGTAAAAAACTGTTGTCTGGCTGAAGCCACAACAAAATCTGCTTTTTGAAAATGTTTGTTGTTGTTTTAAGTTTGGCTCAATCACTTGTTTTTCTCTGTTCCTTATGTAATCTTGTGGGATGCGGCGTCGATAGGCATAAATCATTCATGATGCTCTGAAAAAAAAAAATCACTTAAGCAGATGCAACTTAAAATGAAATGGAAGAAGTTTTTGCACAAAACACAAAAAAAAATATAACTCATGTGGTTCATAGCCCACGCTGATCACTAATTCCCACAATCACTATGTGGCTTGCTTTTGATTCTGGCTTCTTGATGTGCTTCATTTTAAATGGAGACTGGATTAAAGATATAGCTTGTCATAACTATACTGCATTTTTTGAGGAGTCTGAGAAAAGATGTTGTAGTTGTGCATTTGCAGGTACAACTGAAACTGGAAGATTTTATTTTCTGCTTCAAGAAACCAAGAAAGCCCCTTCTTTGTCCAAAAATCCCCTTTTCAATATGCCTGTCACTGAGGTCCATAATTCCATGGGTTCGTTATATCCCCTTTGTAAATATAAATACTCTTCCCCAAAACTCACCAAAAAAAATACCAACTAGCCCCCAGCAGAGGTAACCAATAAGGCTAACTCCCAGATACTAATGCCTTAAGTAAATGGTCTAGTTTTATAATTTTTAATGTGACAGCTAGCTATGAGGAGATTTCTAATAAACAAGAAAATTATGGGTTTCTAGAAATCTCTTTCATATTCATGAACTCGTTCGAGCTTCACAGGAGTAGCAAGGACAAGTATAAGTTCATTCATTAATTCATTTCCACAACAAGTTTTATGCTGAGGTGCCAAAGGTACAGACAGACAAGATAAAGCTACTTGCCCTTGAGCCACTCACAGTAGATGGGGAAACACTTAGCAGAGTTGTATGGGAAAGACTAAGGTTCTTTTAAGCTGCTGAGGGCAGAACAGCAGCCATAGGTACCATGGAAGTGGGTTTCAGCTTTGTGTAAGGAAAAGAATCCCAATTGTTCAAGTTCCCCAGTTGGAAGAGTGAGTGAGTCTGCATTGCCAGAAATGCTTCAGAAGGATCTGGAGAGCTAACTCTCAGAGTAGCTGTAGGAGACATTTTTGCACAGGCTAGGAAGTTAGCCCAATAGATATATATATATTTATGTCCACCCAGCTCTGAGACCCAAAGTCCCTCAATATTTATCATGTTTCATTCATTTATCCAACAAATATTTAGTGATAGGCACTGACTTTGGAGCCATCTTGGCTGGGTATAAATCTCAACTCTGCCACATTCTCACTGTGACATGTTGGGCAACTCAGCTTCTCCATATCCCAGTTTCCTCATCTATAAGATGGGAATAATAATAGTTCCTGGTCCGAGAGTTGCTGTGAAGATTGAAAAGAGGTGATTTATATAAAGCACTTTTGAGCAGTGTCTGGCACATAATACACAGCTGATTAATATTAGACATTGGTAGCAATAGAAGCATGTATCAGGCACTGAGCTGCACACTAGGTCACCAGGGTTAAGAAACAGAGACGAGCCCTACCTTTCTTGAGTTTAAAATTAGCCAGAATGTGGTAGGATACAAAAGAGATAAAAGTCACAAAAAATACAAATACAGCTTCATGCTATGACAATAGCCATGAAAGGGAAAAAGAGAATGCCATAAGAAATATGATAGAGAAGAGGGGGTCTCATTAGATTGGAAGGTGCATGGGGGAGTTCTTTGAAGACCTGTCATTTAAGCTGAGTTGTAATACAAATGTATTCCAGTCTCCAATGGTGTAGAGCAGTGCCTCAGTGCCTGGCCTTATTTTAAGTCAGCAGAGAAAGGAAGCCAGGTAGCTCTCTGCAAGAGTCACCTGTCAATCTGAGTTCCAGTTTGTGCATTAAGCCTCACATTGTGAAATGTAGATGGGCTCTCTTTGCTTTAGCTATTAGTTTCCATTTGATTTTTCTCTTAACTCTGTAAATTCATCAGTTTATCCATCCTTGCATTCATTTATCCAGTCTATGGAGGGCTCAAAGATATGTAGCCCCCAATCTCAAGGAGCTCCTATGAGGGAGGCTGATATGTACACAAGTTCCTATAAGTAAAGATACATTGGGGAAGATGGAGGGAAATGTTACGGAAGTGTGAGGAAGCTAGAAATTCAACACAGATGAAGGGGTAAAGGGAGAATTTTTTTAAAAGGTAGCATGATGAAGCATGCCAAGGAATTCTAAGCAAAGTGACTTTGAAGGAATCCAATCTTACTCAGCATTTGGGGTCTAAAAATCAATGCATAAAGCCAAAAAAAAATCATGACTAGATGATAGTCAAACGTACCCTTGAAAATTCTTTCAGCAGTGACTGTGTTGGCAAAATGACATAATACCTTTCAAGAAATCCAGTACAGTGTTTCTTCTAGTTCTGAAATCAATTGCTGTTGCTTCAGTTGAGCATCAGACAAATGTGTGAGCTTGCCTTGAGGTGCCAAGTTGTGTGAAAAAATATGAATTTCTAAATGCAGAACTCACACATAGTGCAAAGTCCATAGGAGAGGAGAGAAGGAGCAGTCATTGCCAAGCCTCCTGTGTCCTCCAGGGCAGGCACTCATCACGTACCATGTGGGAAGTAGGCATAACTCCCCAATAGCCTCACTATTGGTTCCCTCTTGCTTTCTGCCTCTCTCTGTCAATCTATCAACTAACCTGTCTCTTTTTATATTTGCCAAATAGTTAAATATGCATGCATTAAATATAAATCTGCATGTCCAATATAACATAATCAAAGATCTGAAGTCAGCAAAGAGCTAGACTTTCAGAAAATAGCTCAGTGACACAATATAGCTGAAATTTGGGATCTGTGTTAGTTTCTAGAGCTGCCATGACAAACCACCACAAACTGAATGGATTAAAGAAACACATACACAGAAATTTATTCTCTCACAGTTCAGAGGCCAGAAGTCTGTAATCAAAGTGTGAACAGGACCATACTCCCTCTGGAAGCTCTAGTGGAAATTTTATTCTTTATCTCTTCTAGCTTCTGGTGACTCCATGTTCCTAAGTTTATGGCAGCCTACCTCTAATCTCTACCTCCATCTTCAAATGGTTTCTCTGTATCTCAAGCCTCTCCTTCCTTTCTCTTAAGAAGACACCAGTCATTAGATTTAGGGCTCAGTCTAAATCCAGGAAGACCTCATCTTGAGATCATTAACATCTTCAAAGACTTCATCTCCAAAAAAGGTCACATGCATAGGTACCTGGAGTTAGAACTTACACATATCTTTTGAGGATCACCATTCAACCCACCACAAGTTTCAAGAAAGAGTAATAAAAATGGGTCTAAAGCTCTATTTTGACAGGCTTAGAATGCCAATTTCAGATGTCTTTGAGGGTCTAGTTCTTTGCAGAGTTCTGATGCTGACAACCTTGACTTCCATTGCTGCTTAAATGCCTTGTAATGTAGGGTCTCCTCCTCTGCCTCCCTGCCACCCTGAAGCCTTTCTCCCCCTACTTTACTCACCAGGGCCCCTGCAGCATGATAAACCTTGACATACTTTATCATCTACTTTTCCATGTCCTAATCAAAATTCCCATCTCATATCCCATCCTCTACATGAGTGATGGTTAATCAACCAAAATAATCTTTATTAAGGCACTGGCTTGTCAACATTGTTAAAACCTATACACGTAGCCCTTCAACTGTCATCATGTTAATACCAGCTCCACACTATGAGGATGCAGCTGCTGCCTGAGACACACCTGAAGCTGATGGGAAAGGAGAAAGCTCCCACCTAGCCCCTTCTTCTTGTCCCCAGATCTCCTACAATTGGCCAAACTCAGCTAGAAGCCAGCCGATCCAGGAGCCTGGGAATAGTAGCCTGAGAGATCAGCTCCCTGTAACACAGAGCAGAGGAGGGAGGGATATGCATGGATCTGATGACAAGGAGGCTCAGGACCCACACATATTCTTAATTCTCATTTTACAGAGTAGGACATGGAGCTCAGAGAACGTTATTAACTGCCCAGAGTCACATAGCTAGTAGGTATTAGTGTGGACTCTGAATCCAGGTCTATCTGAATCTAAAGGCTGCGTTCTTGCTCTGCTCTGCTCTCACTACTGTTGCATTCATTTCAGTGGCTTTGTCCAACTGCCTTGGTCAATGGCATAGCTTGGGGTTCTGAGAGGCTTGTGTGGCTATCATATCAACAAGAGGACCTTCTCTGGGCTTGAGATTCGGATCTTGTGAAAGACACAAAGATGCCCCACTGGGATCTCCCTTCAAGGAAGAACTCACCATGCCCAACTCTGTGAGTGCTGTGAACTCATCTTGGCCCATCAGTCTACACATACTAGTTGCTGATGAGTCACTGTGCATCATAGTGGAAGCAGTGGGGATAGTGTCACCTCCCTTTCTCTTAGACACTCTGCAGGCTTCCAAACCTGCCTTCACTGAGATTTTTCTGGATAATTTAGACAAGCAAGTGAAGATACTATCAGATGGTGAGGCATTTGGTCATTTTCTTGATGATCATCCTTTGCTGATTCCCCCCAGAAACGGTCGCCAAGAAAGTGTTTGGTCTATGGAAACATACCACCAACTCTAACCTCCCCTCTGTTTCCTATGCAGAGGTCAAGAAATGTCTTCATAACCACTTACTATCTTGGTGGCAGGGACTAAAACACATCCTAACATTCTTCAGCACTTCTGGGATGTTGAAGTCTACCTAGAAGTGGCCAAGGTTAGGCTTTGCCTTTCTGCAGATTGTTCCTTCTGATGTGCCTGGAATGCTTGGAGAAATGCCCAGATTCACTTATTTCTGACTGACTGCCCCCTCTGCCGTGATAAAGGCCTGGAACTTGAAGGGGCTTCTGAAAGCTATCAAGTCCACTGTTCTGCTCTTGAAGAAAGACCCCTCTCTCCAACACATCCATAATATTTTTCTTTAAAAAAAATGAAAGAAATTCCCTATTTTCTTGGCTAAACAATCAAATG